GCTGCTGCTCACACGGAGCTAGACACAGCTTCAGAGTGTGAGGAGGAGGAAGCACTTAAGAATAAAAGACAAACCAATTAACATGTCAAATCCTTCCTCTCAGATGGCATGAATAGACTCTTGTATAACAAGGTATTACCCAGCGGTACATGGTTCTGCTGTTTGCAACCGTTGCAAGTGACAGCCAAAAATATTTTGTGACATTAAATAATTCATATTGCTCTTAAATTTGTGTATCTGCAGGTCTAGATGCAATAATTATGAAACATTATATGAATTGGCAACTGAATGGACAAATACAGTGGCAACTAGATGCATACCGAAGGCTAGAATTATGAATTTTAATGTAAAAAATGTAATAAGATGTGAGTTTCCCAAAAATGTAGATATAAATGTCAGCTTTATTCAAATAATTTTGAAAATGAGTACAAGTCAAGATCATCACAGAGATAGAAAATTCAAAAGTGGAGCTCAGAGAAGAAATAGAAAGCAGTCTGCTTACATTTCAGAAAACTGGAAACAATGAAAGTGAGCAGACTTCTGCTGAGCATGACCCACATAAAATTTGCAGACAGGACTTTCAAATTATTTAATAAAGATTTCATCACTAATCCAATGAAAATGAATAAAAAAAGTCTTCCAACCCACAATTTGAGAACCTCAGATAAAACCCCTGACACTTCATATTCTTCAAGAAACGAAGACCTAATTATTGATTAAAACAATGAGGACCATAAAAAAAAGAATTATTTATAACAAAGTTATGACTCAGAAAGCCAAATGCAATTCTGGCCTGTCCATTAACATCTGAAGGAAATTGCATGTATAACGGCTGCCACTGAATGTGAAAACTGAAAAGCTCTGAGCTGCACAATGCTTATTGGATTGTGATCCTGAAAAGTGGCTGTCACATCCTCCTGACAGTGTAAACAGGTCCCCAGAGAATGCAATCCAACTCAGATTAATGATCACAGTTTTTCCATGGCACAAGCATGGCAGAAAATTTAATATTTAATTTACAGCAAAATGATTTTAGATGGAGAAAGAAATTGTAGAAATAACTTTTATATGTTTTTATATCCTGAATCCAAAGACATATATTTTGTTACTGCTGTGACAGTTTTACGATGAATCCTTAAGATCAGTTTTAGTCAATTAAGATATTTGTGTCTGAAAACCCTTCTGTTCTTGACTGAAGTGAAACATCTGTGGCTCAGTGGTTGAGCATTGACCTATGAACAAAGAAGTCATGGTTTGATTCCTGGTCAGGACACATGCCTGTGTTGCAGGCTTGATCCCCAGTGTGGGGTGTGCAGGAGGCAGCCAATCAATGTTTCTCTCTCATCATTAATATTTCTATCTCTCTTCCTTCCTCTCTGAAGTCAATAAAAATATATTTAAAAAATAAAATAAAGTGAAACATCGAGTGCACACAAAAAAATTCACATGCTACTCCTAGAATTCATTTTTAAAAGACTGAATAAGCAGCAAAACACTAGTATTGAAAAGAGGCAAACAGTTTTCTTATATGATGTATGGTGTCCTTATAAAATAATATTAATGTGCAATTTTTAAAATATATATATTTTTTATTGATTTCAGAGAGGAAGGGAAAGGGAGAGAGAGAGATATTTGAAACATCAATGATGAGAGAGAATCATTGATAGGCTGTCTGCTGCATGCCCCCAACTGGGGATCGAGCCTGCAACCCATGGCCAGAATTGAACTTGGGACTCTTTAGTCCGAAGGCCGATGCAGTTTTTTTTAAATATATTTTTTATTATTATTTCAAAGAGGAAGAGAGAGGGAGAGAGAGATAGAAACATCAATGATGAGAGAAATCATTGATTGGCTGTCTCCTGCACGCCCCCCACTGGGGATCCAGCCCACAACCTGGGCACGTGCCCTTGACTGGAATCGAACCTGGGACCCTTCAGTCCGCTGGCCGACGCTCTACCCACTGAGCCAAACCAGCTAGGGCAGTGGTTCTCAACCTTCCTAATGCTGCGACCCTTTTTTTTTTTTTTAAATATATATTTTATTGATATCCCACAGAGAGGAAGGGAGAGGGATAGAGAGCTAGAAACATTGATGAGAGAGAAACATCGATCAGCTGCCTCCTGCACACCTCCCACCGGGGATGTGCCCGCAACCAAGGCACATGCCCTTGACCAGAATCGAACCTGGGACCCCTCAGTCCGCAGACCGACGCTCTATCCACTGAGCCAAACCAGTCAGGGCAATGCTGCGACCCTTTAATACAGTTCCTCATGTTGTGGTGACCCCCAACCATAAAATTATTTTTGTTGCTACTTCATAACTGTAATTTTGCTACTGTTATGAATCGTAATGTAAATATCTGATATGCAGGATGTATTTTCATTGTTACAAATTGAACATAATTAAACCATAGTGATTAATCACAAAAACAATATGTAATTATATATGTGTTTTCCGATGGTCTTAGGCGACCCCTGTGAAAAGGTTGTTCCACCCCCAAAGGGATCGCGACCCACAGGTTGAGAACCGCTGAGCTAGGAGATGATCAAGCATAATGATGCATTTGTTCTAAGCTCCTGGTGTCCCCTGTGATGCTGGCATATCCAGCCACTGGTGGAAGTTACAGTCAAGGCCTCTGTATCCAGTACCTGTACTTCCATACTTACAGTTTGGCTCACACATCTTGCCTCTCTCCGTAGGGGACCATTGCTGGTCCACAGCCACTTGGGAGCACCCTCGAGTTAAGCGCCACCTGTTCTTCCTCCTGACAGATCCCAGCCGGGGAGTTCAGTCGGAACCTTTCACTTTCACATCCAGCCCGAGCCAGGGAACTGGGTGTGTCCCTCAGACACTTGGCGGGAAAGCTGGTTCCCAACCGTTAAGAAGCAATTAACACGGAGGCCACCCCTGTGGGGAGAGGCGGGGCGCTTTCTAACAGCATAGCATCCCAACCTCCACCAAGCAATGCCTGGCCAGATCAGCGGTGGTTTTAAGTGTGGCTGAATCAGTATTTCGAAGTTCTGCTTCACCAAATTTCCAGAGGGCTTCTTGCACACCCCACCCTTTGCGACTATGAGTCAGCCTCCCTTGGAACCAGAAAACAGGTGGCAAATACAGGCGTATTACATGCAAAAATGCAGCTGGACTAAACAAAGAAAGATTGAAAGGACATTTACACGGTGATATGATCCTGTGCTTTTGTCTGACTTTTTTACTTTTTTAGGACTTCAGTTTTGTTCATTAACGTGCAATGAGAACTTAGAGTCAGAGGAAATACAAATGTAAAATCCTAGATGGTAACCATTTTCTTCCAGTCATTCATAGTTATCTCACCCAAATCTCATAGCAATGAATTTTTTTTTAAGCAACTCTCCCCTATTGAAAAATTCCAAAACATCTAATTTGGAATTTTTTCTTTTTTCTCTTATTGTCTTATATGCCTTACCTTTTGGAAAAAAATTTTTGAATATATATTTTTATTTATTTCAGAGAAGGGAGAGGGAGATAGAAACATCAATGATGAGAGAGAATCATTGATTGGCTGCCTCCTGCACGCCCCCATTGGGGATCCAGCCCACAACCCGGGCATGAGCCCTTGACTGGAATCGAACCTGGGGACCCTTCAGTCCACAGGCTGGTGCTCTATCCACTGAGCAAAACTGGTCAGGGCTGAAAAACTTTTTATTATGGAGAAATTTAAACATAGATAGTTCAAAGAGCAGATGGTCAGTGTAATGAACTTTATGCATAAGCATCACCTGCCATACCAACCAGGATCCTGTGGCTAACCCTGTCTAATCCACATGCTCATCCACTTCTCCTTCCATATTTTAGTTGTTTAACTAGTACTTTTATTAAGGTATGCCTTTACTAAATGTTTACCTTTATTATGGTAAAATTTATGAACATAAGCTGGATTCATTTTAACATACAACTTGATGAGATGTTTACCATACAACAGATATAAAACACCTTTAAACCATCGTCATTATCAAAATACAGAACATTTCTATCATCCTCCAAATTGCCTTGTGTCCCTTTGCAGTCCATCCCTTCCTCTGCTTCCAATCCCAGGCAACCATGATCTGCCTTTTGTTGTTGTTGTTAATCCTCACCCAAGGATATTTTGTCCATTGATTTTTTAAAAAAATTTTTTTATTGATTTCAGAGAGGAAGGGAGAGAGAGATAGAAACATCAATGATGAGAGAGAATCATTGATTGGCTGCCTCCACTGGTGATCGAGCCCACGACCTGGGCATGTGCCCTGACTGGGAATCAAACCGTGACTTCCTGGTTCATAGGTGGACGCTCAACTACTGAGCCATGCCAGTTGGGCCATTGATTTTTTCATTTCTATTTTTTAGACACAGTGGAAGAGAGGGAAGAGGGGGAAGAGACAGAGAGATGAGGGGAGAGAAAGAGAGAGAGTGAGAAACATCAATATGAGAGAGACACATCAATTGGTTACCTCCTGAATGCACCCCGACCAGGTACGTGCCCTTGACTGGGAATCACATCCAAAATCCTTTGTTGGTGCATGGGCTGATGCTCTACCACTGAGCCACACCGGCCAGGCATGATCTGCCTTTTTCCGACAGTATGTATTCCCTCCTGATACTATTTTGAAGCAAATGTCAGATAGCTTATTTTATCTATAAATATTTTAGTATACATCTCTAAGAGATAAAACCTACTTTTAAAAAGAATGATAATGCTATTATGATACAGTGTAATCAACAGTAATTCCTTAATAGAAATTATCTGGTGCGGAGCAGGTGCACAGCCTGCACACTAGGCAGGCATCCCCAATGGCTGTGGAAAGGGAGAGAAGTGGAGATGGTGAGCAGATCAAACAAGCTTATCAGCTGCTAGCTGCTCAGGAGCAGCCTGCCCAAACCCCATTGTGTCCTTTGCTACAAGCTGAGTACCCTCCGCCACGGTTGCCAAATTTTGGAAATAAAAATACAGGGCACCAGCTCTGCGCACTGAAAGGGTACCTTGTCCACACCAGGGAAGCCCCACCCACCGGAAGCCAAGATGTCCAGTAAGCGAGCCAAGGCCAAGATCACCAAGAAGCAGCCACAGCGGGCCACATCCAATGTCTTTGCGATGTTTGACCAGTCCCAGATCCAGGAGTTTAAGGAGGCCTGCAACATGATCGACCAGAACCAAGATGGCTTCATTGACAAGGAGGACTTGCATGACATGCTGGCCTCCCCGGGAAAGAACCCCACAGATGAGTACTTGGAGGGCATGATGAGCGAGGTCCCTGGGCCCATCAACTTCACCATGTTCCTGACGATGTTTGGGGAGAAGCTGAACGGCATGGACCCCGAGGATGTGATCCACAATGCCTTTGCCTGCTTCGACGAAGAGGCCTCAGGTTTTACCCATGAGGACCATCTTCGGGAGCTGCTCACCACCATGGGTGACTGCTTCACAGACGAGGAAGTGGACGAGATGTACCGTGAGGCACCCATTGACAAGAAAGGCAACTTCAACTACCTGGAGTTCACGCGCATCCTAAAACACGGTGCCAAGGACAAAGACCACTAGGCCTCCCAAGGCCCCCATGTCCAGCCCCTGTCCCAGTCACCTGCTCCACACACATACACAGTCTGCACCTGCTCATGCCCATGGGTCCCAATCAGGGGAGCCTCCCTCTGAGGGATTAGGGCCCAGCTCCCAGTGGAGGAACAGGCCCAGAGAGAGCAGTGCCAGGCAAGGATCACACAGCCACTGTGAGGCAGGTGTGCCCACTGTGACCCTCCAAGAAAGGATCATCTAGGGAGCTGGGCATTTCCAGCTGGTCTGGCTTTGCAGAACCCAAGCTACAAGTCTAAGTCCCCTCTGCTTTTTCGATAGGTTCTGAAAGGAAGTAGGAGAAAGCCTAATTAATCCAAGGAACCCGGGAGTGAGCTTTTCCTGGCACTTTGATACGAAGTTGTTCTTTAGGTTAAAAGATCTAAGTGACTGTTGTGACAATGTGAATCGGGTTTCATTCTTCAGCCACCCTTTCAGGAATAGGAAAAACAAAAGCCAACTTGCTCCGACGCATTGTATCAAATGTCAACACGATCTCACCAAGCACTGTCCTCCTCAGAGTTTATTTTGGATGTAACACACCTTAAGAACATGTTGATGAGCCAAGATGCAAACCCAACTGTTTGGGGGATTTGCGGGAGGCAAAAAGACCTCATGCTCCTTGTGTCTCTGAGAAAAAGGATCTCTTTAGCCTGCCGTCCCAGGCGCCTGCACATGGCAAATAGCATCCCATTGGATACAGTTGTTTTCATTGAAATTGTATTTATTGTGAGATATGTCATACATACAGAGGAGTAAAAGACACCCCACATATGTACAATTTTAAAAAAAAATTTTTTAATACATTTGTGGTTTTTTAAATATATATATATCCTATCTAATAATAGACAAACATGGTAATTGACCATACCTTCGCTATGCCTCCCTTTGGCTAATCAGCGTGATATGCAAATTAACCACCAACAAAGATGGTGGTTAATTTGCATACGTAGGCTCCAAGCGGCGGAGGGAAGACTGAAGGCGAGCCGGAGCAGTGAAGACAGAAGACTAAAGGCGGCTCCGGCCGGAGCAAAGGCCTGGGTCCCGGGTGCTGGAGGAAAATCTGGCCGGCAGCCAGGAGAAGGGAAGGCCTATTGCATGAATCTCTTCGTGCAACAGGCCTCTAATACATATATATATATATATATATATATATATATATATATATATATATGTAATATATATATTATTTTTATTATTATTATTGATTTCAGAGAGGAAGGAAGAGGGAGAGATGGAAACATCCATGATGAGAGAAAATCATGGATTGGCTGCCTCCCGAAAGTCCCCCACTGGGGATCGAGCCCACAGCCCAGGCATATGCTCTTGACTGGAATCGAACCTGGGACCTTTCAGTTCGCAGGCCGATGCTCTATCCACTGAGCCAAACCAGCTAGGGTCCCCTGTGTACAGTTTAATGCATCATTATAAATTGGATACCCCATAACCAGCAACCACGTCTAGACCACTCAGTCACGCATAAGCCCCTGTGGACCCCCCACCTCCATCACATTTCCCTCCTCCTCCAGATATGGTCACTATCCTGACTTGTAGAAATCATTTCCTTGCCTTTCTCTTTATTGTTACTGCTACCTGGGCACCGCCAAGCAAGCCTCTGTTTTTAAACTTCATATACATGAAATTATATTATGTGTATTCTTTGCGACTTGCTCCTTCCTCACAGTGGTTCTCAGACTAGCAATGGGTCCAGGCTTGTGGATTCAGGAGTATGCTGTCTTCACAAAAATCACTGGCCTTGAAGCCACACGGACCTGCTTTGGCCTCCTAGCTCAACCCCAAAGGCTGTCAGTTAACTGTGTCACTTGTCCTTTCCTCCTTTGCAAAATTGAAACAAATTGTACCTCTGGACATGAGCACCTCCAGAGCAGGAGATTACTTCATTTGTCATTCTGTTCTCCACAGCTCAGAGGGCTGGTCCCCGATGAACCTTGGGTGAATAAAGGAGTTGTGGTGAGATGATGCATGTAAGGACCTGCTAATACAATACCCGATTCAGAGCGAGTGAAGCTAAAATCTTTATTGTTATCAGTGATGTTTGTTTGAATAGGCACCCACAGAAACTGTGAGATAACAAATGTTCGTTGTTTTAAGCTGGTGCATTTGGGGACAATTTGTTACACAGCAGTGGATAAGTAACACACTGTCTCTTCTGGGATGAAAAGCATGCTGGCAGTTTTCAGAGCGTGTGGCAGGTGAGAAGATGCACTGTTCAGATCCCCTTTAAGAATGGGCTCCTGCCCAAATACAAGGAACACAATTAACTGACAGCCTTTGGGGTTCGGCCCAGCTTTCAAGATGCAATCATGCTCTTCCCAGAGTGCTCTCCCCAGCCAATGGGTGAGCTGAGGTAGTGCGGCAAGGATCTACCCATTTCTGCCCAACACGTGCCCCCTCTCATGGGTGGTCTTTGCTTCAGGGCTCCATGTTGGGCTGGCAGAGACTTGGACAGGTCTGCATTGGAGTCTTATGTGTCCATGAGTATCACTCCCCAATAAACCTTTCCATTCTCAACCCCATCTTAACCTGCGCTTCCCAGATAACCCCTGCTGTAACCAAGGACCACACCTGCTTCATAGAAACCCAAGCTTCCTCATCGGCCCAGACATATACAGACTCTGCCCCTTGCTAGCTCTGTGACCCTGGGCAAGGTACTCAACCCCTCTGAGCCTTTTTCTCTCACATGTAAGATGGGTGATAAAAAATGTGGGGCTCAAATGGGATATTTATAGAGTGTGTAACAGAATGCACAGTATATAGTAAGTGCTAGAAAAAAGGTAGCTATTGTCTAGCCACAGATTACATACCAACTAGTGGCTTTACATTGTCCATAAAGTTTTATTGGAAATTAGTTCAATACATTGTCTGTTGTATCTATAGTAGACCTTTGACATTCATGAGGATTATACCCTGTTATCTTTATAAAACCCCAAACTACCAAGTGCCACCATAGCACATACTGTCACCCATAAAAAAAAGTACAACTCGAAATTCTACATGACTCTTTTAGACCCTTAACAGTTCTATAAATAAGGAGTTAACAAAAAGAAAAGGAGTTAAAACTTTATAAAGCTGTCAAGTTATGCCAAAGCAACTTGGTGAACTGTTCCTCTTGTTTGCATTATACTTTATCACATCAGAGGGCCGAGCCGCCTCTGAGTGCCACCCTTTTAATAATCCCAGACATCTGAAATGTAACCTGTCAAAACCTGTTCCTCACACAGTGTGCCTCACTTTGGGAAGTAATTCCAAGCCAGAAAATGGGAAGCCATCCATGACACCTCCCTCTGTCTTAGTCCCCACTGCCAATCCAATGTCATGTTTTATCTATTTGTTCTCCCTTCAAAAAAACACCCTAAATCCACCCACTTTCCATCGCCACCAGCACCACCCAGTCTTTTCTCTTCCAAGAGCCTCCTAATTGGCTTCCTTTTCTTTTTTAGTGATTGATTGGTGAGAGAGAGAAAGAGAGAGAAAGAGAGAGGGAGAGAGAGAGAGAGAGAAAGAAACATCAATTTGTTGTTCCACTTATTTATGCATTCATTGGTTGATTCTTGTATGTGCCCTGATACCCTGACCGAAAATCAAACCTGCAACCTTGGTGTATTGGGATGACACTCTAACCAACTGAGCTACCCGGCCAGGGCTGGCTTCCTCTTGCAGTGAGAATAAAGACCAAACTTCTTGTCAAGGCTCTGCATGAGCTGGCCCTGCCCACTGTACAATCCACCTCCACTTCCCAAACACTCCCTCCCATTTCAAGCTCGCTCTTGTCTTAGAACCCTCCCCGGGGCCCTTTCTGTGTTTAGAACTCTCCTGGCCAGCTCTTTGCGTTGCAGGCTTCTTTGCCTCCTTAAGGTCTGAGCCTGAACGTCACCTGCTAACTGCTGTCTAAATGAGGTTCGATCCCTCACAGCCTCCTCCAATTGCTCTCAGCCGCAGCACCCAGTCATTTCTTTTGTTGCATGCATCTCTGTTTGTCAGGACATATTTATTTGTCTTGTAAAGGTTTCCCTCCGTTTCTTTGAATGCAGGGGTCTTGTCTCTTTTGTGCATTTCGTGCCAAGCCCAGTGCTGGCCACCCACTTTTTAACACTTATTTCCCCCGTATTTCTACCTTGTCATTGTAGAAAAGATTAGAAAGTACAGATTAAAAAAATAAAACATGCCCGGCCAACGTAGCTCAGTTGGTTAGGCATCGTCTGGTGCACAAAAGGTTGCAGGTTCGATTCCCAGTTAGGGCACATGCCTGGGTTGTGGGCTCCATCCCTGGTGGGGGATGTACAGGACACAGCTCAGTATTCTGTTCTCACATTAACGTTTTTCTCTTTTCCTCTCTCTCCCTTCATCTCTCTCTTTTAAAAAATAAATTTAAAAAAAATCTTTAAAAAATAAAGTGCCACCCCCAGCCGGGCTGTACTATCTCCTGTGTCCAACAGTAGTGAAGATTTCAAAGCAGAGTTGAGGGAGGAAATCACAATCCATAACCCCCAGAAAACGACAATTCCATTTTAGTCTTCATTGCTTCTTTCCAGCCAGCCCCCCCATTTGTTTGTCACATGCCCCCCCCTTTGGCTTTTCCCCCACATTCCTCACCTGGAGTGGCAGGTGGTGGCCCAAAGAGGACTTCCCTCTTCTCTGGGTCTTTTCCTCTCACTCCCCACTCACCCCTGGGCACACACCAATTGCTCTTGGAGTCTTGCCCAGGTTAGCCACCCTCTTTTCTTATCCAGCTCTATCTTTGCTGCCTCCCTTCAGCCCAGGTGTCTTGTTAAAAGATTTTTTTCCCAAATCAGTGCCATCCTCCCCCTGCAAGGAATCCTGGTTGATATATGAGCTCCCTCTACCAACGCACCCCATCCTGGAAGCTCCTTAGAAAAAGGACAATGGAAAAGTCTAGCTAGAGCTGTGGTGCCCATGGGGGTGAGGGGGAGGGGAGGGTTCAGCGGCCTCTGCCTGCACTGGCCTTTCCCCCACTTCCTCCCCTTCTCAAGGTCACTGGTTTCAAAGGTCTCGGCAAGTCTGTCCCGAGTTCCTATTTTTCCTTCTGTGGGTTTCTAGCTCCCTAACAGCAAAAGGGATTTGTCTCTGGTGAAGGTTGCCAAAGGTGGGGGCTGGAATCTCTGAGAAAGCAATTACCTTGAAGAGCCTTCCCTGGAGAACA